TTCTTTATGTTCTCTTCCCTCCCCTCCGTGTCCCCTCCCTCTCCACTCATCCCCCGCGTGGGCTCTTGACGCTGTTTGTCGGTGTCTGGCTCCCCCTGCCATAGAAGGGGAGTATTGCCCCTGGGACAGAGAACTGCAAACCCAGTCGCTCCAGCACCTCTCTAAGGAAGAAGATGCGGGTACACCTGAAGGTACCCACTCTGCCCGCCTTGCCCACCCTCAACACTGGCTCCCTATGAGCCCTCCGGAATTTACCTCCAAGAGCAGGTCCCAAATGAAAACACGAGGGGGCTTCCAAACGCTGGTGGAGAAGTTTAATTCTCTCCCGATTCTGGTTTTGTTTTTTCCCATGAAATATTTGAAGCCCCGTCATCCCTGAGTCTCAGAGCTCTGTGCTGACAAGCTTCGGCACGCCCCTCGCCGGGCTCCCATGCTGGGCGCACCCTTCCTGGGCAGACAAGCACACAGTAGTGTGGAAGTCAAGAGAGATTTCCAAGACGATTTCAGACAGAGCCCTGGGGAGTGTGGCCCCAGGGGTCCCCCTCGTGTTTCTGCCATGAGTTCCCCTCAGCCAGGCGGGATACCCCACATTAGTCACGGCCAAGCCCAGAGCGTGGCAGAGCCCCTTCACCACCACGACCACCACCACAGTGCCCAGCACAGACCCTGGCTGTGCCTCTTTAGGGTCTCTCCTTTCCAAGGGAGGGGGGATCCCCACAGCCTCACACACCACGCATAGCCCGTGGCTGCTCCAGCCTGGCAGCTTTCCCCATCCCTGCCTCCCTCAGACCTCTCTGAGCCAGCCAGGCTCGTGGTGACTTAGCCATGACATAGCTCCATACGGGCCGGTGAATCTTAGGAAAAAGCCCATCAATCTGTGGGAGCAGGGGAAGGGACTGAAACCGCAGGAACAGTTGCCCCCCAAGTCTGGCCGTCTTCCTGGCATTTTCAGGGAGCTCAGGCGAGCGTCTCAGGAGCCCAGATTCTCAAATCGGTGGCACCTGCTCCTGCTCCCCGAAAAGCTGCCCTCCCTTCCCCAGAGCCTCTTCCCCAAGTGGTTGCCTGTCCCTTTATGTTAACCCCACTCTATGGCATGCTCGAAGCACTAATGACAGGGAGCCCACGGGCAGGGACTGCATAGGGGTCCCCGGGGTTCTCACAGCAAGAGTCTAGGGAAGGGGCTGCTGGGGAGCGCGGAACATTCATCTGAGGAACCCAGTCTTGTCCATGAGGGCGTCTGTGGGGCACCAACGTACTTTGAAGGCAAAGGGCTGGGGCCTCAGGAAAAGCAGAGAGGTGCTGGTTTCAATCCCATGCTTGTGGGGCTTTCTCCCCCAGCCGTTGCCTCTCCGGCTCCATCCTTTCCTTTGATCTGTGCGGTCACAGACCAGCATGCAGCATGGGACCTGCCCCTTCCCAACAGCAGCTTCAGCTGCACCAGCAAGAGCCGAAAAAAGAGACCAACGTGGGAGTGGGTTTGCGTGTGAGAGAAGGGTACAGTCCCCTCACTCCTCGCTCACATCACTTAAATCCCAGAGGGGCTTCTTGAGCACAGCACGTGAGGTGCGTGCCTGAGGTGCGTGCCGGTCCCTCGCTGTGCTAGGTGGCAGAGCTGAGCACTTGGCACCCTGAGAGGTGGCTCTGTCTTGTGTTCTCTTGTTTTTGCACATTGGCAGTGTGGGGCGGGAAGTGCACAGGAGGAGGAGAGCCCTTCTGTGCTGGAACTTGTGCCCCCCCCCCCTCCGGGACCAGCAGTGCACACGGACACCCCGCCCCCCACAAGCTGACCGAGGGCAAAGGCGTCTGGGTGTGGTTCCTCAAACCTTGCCTCCTCCTGGCTCACACTGAGATGCTATAACTTCTCTTTCTCTTTCCTCTCCTGTGGTGTTCCACTCCCTCCTTCCCCTCGCTGTCTACTTGCTCCTCCCTCCCCGTCACCCGGCACAGCAGCCGGGAACCTGAGGCTGCAGCAGATCGCCCACCCGGCCGATCCCTTGGAGATCCAGGCCGATGTGCACTGGACCCACATTCGTGAGCGGGTAGAGGAGGAGCACATGGCCCCAGCCTCCGAGTCCTCTACTCCGAGAGGTAACCGCACCAGGACCCAGGACCCCGTCCCCTGGGCATCACCTGCCCCTCCTCCCAGAGGGCTGCCCTGCTGGGGCCAGAGCCAGCTTAGCCCGCTGCCTGCCTGGTGCCGGCCAGGAAAACTGCCCTAGACAGCTGGGCAAAGGTGTTCAGAGTCTTCGGCTCTGGCCCCACAGCCACACAGTATGGAGAACCCAGGCCCCCGGCCCCACCTTTCCAGGCAGGCTTGCCCCTGCCCCTCTCGGCCCCTTCCTCAGAGTGTGTCTGGGAGTGAGTGTGTGTCCGTCTGTCAGGCAGGGTGGGGTGGTTATGGGTCAAGAAATTCCTCCCCTTAGGGAGCAGAATTCCTGGCTTCTCGGTTTGAGGTGAGGGTGAAGTGCTGTGGACAACAGGCTACCATACCACCCTCTGGCTGCGAGCAGAATTCCTGGCTTCTCGGTTTGAGGTGAGGGTGGAGTGCTGTGGACAACAGGCTACGCACATACCACCCTCTGGCTGCTCAGGAGTAAGGGGGACCAGTGGAGACTGCTGAGGGGGTGGGGGCCGTGGCTCGCCCTCTGTCGCCCAGTGCCCACTGCACACACTCCTGCCTCCACGTGTCCATTTAGTGCCCGAGCTGGGCCACACGGCACTGGCTGTGCAAGAGGGCTCTGGCCTTCTGGAACCTTGAAATTGGTGCATTTGATTGTGCCCGCCCCCTGCAGCTGGACCAACCTCTGCCCACTCCTTTTACAGCAGTGTACACTCAGAGCATTGTGCCAGCGCTGAAGAGGAGTGCCAGGCTGGCCTGCATGGCCCTCACCTACGTCTCCTCCCCTCTCCTCTCTACACCCGGATGGCCCACCCCACAGACCAGGGCACGGGTGCGCTGCCCACCACCCACCCTCTGTTTCCCTCCTTTTGGACTTCCAGGAACGACCTCCGCTCTCCTCGGCAGACACACCTCCCCCTGAGTAACTCTGTATTTATCATCTCTTTTCAAATCCAGTACCCGACCTTCCCTCCGTCCGCCGCGCGGCAGTGCAGGCCTGGCTCGAGACGGTCTCCAGAGGTAGCCTGGTGATGTTTGCTCTCTCCCAGTTCACAGTAACCTCTCTCTCTCTCAGCAGCTCTATTGGCTCCTTAACTCTAGAGTGCCGATCCTGCTGCAGTGCATGCCGGGCGGGCGGGGGCACATGCATGCCTCACCCCAACGGACAGTGTCCTCACTGGGACCATGTCGCTGCATGCGCCAGCCACTCGCCCGCGTCCCGTCCCGGGGAGGCCAGTAGGACAGACAGGGCCCCCCCCCCCCTTTCAATGAGCAGAGGTTAGATACAGGCCAACCCTGAAGGGGCGTTCTGAGTGCTGAGGTTCAGAGTCTGTAGAAATCCAGCGAGTGGCCTTTGTATTCTTAGGGCGTTTCAGAAAAGGAATCAGTCCCAAAGCAGCTTACGGGAATGCCTCGGGAAGGGAGAGGGGCACTGGAGAACGTGCTTCAGCTAAAGGCACAGGGGACAGGCTGGTCCGACCAGGCAGGGTCTTCAGACTGAGAGATGGTGGAAAGGTCCCTCCGTGTCTCATGAGACATGTCCTCGGCAAGAGGATGGTTGGCATTTTGAGTAGAACAGTTCTGTCCACTGCAGGACATCGATGGCCCTCAGCCTCCATCCTGGACACGTCGGCAGTGCCCTGTCCACCCTCACACTGGTCTTGCCGGCAACCGATCACTAGCCCATCGTGTTGCCAGCATGGCTTGAGGAAGGGCAGGAATGACTCCTAGCTGAGAACCTCGCTGTCCTTGCAGTGACTTCTAGAATGAACGGACCTGGAGCTCAGACCAGTGCGTCCAGTGTCCCTGGCAGCAGTGGTGGGGGAAGCACGCACAGTCGGCAGGCGCCTTCCCACCGAGCCCTGGGGAAAGAGGGACTTTCTGGGTCAGAGTAGAGCTGTGCTCCACTGAGCTTTCTCCTCAGAAGAAGCTCACCTGGCCTTTCTTCTGAGCGCCTCTGCGTGGACTCAAACCGCAAACCTTTCACAGAGCAGCAGAGGGCTTACCTACCCTCACCACCTAGGGGCCCCGGGAAAGAGAAACCACGTGACATGCAGTTCAGCAGGACCTAGGACTCAGTCCTCTCCTCACCTCAGTTTGTATTGCTGGTGGCTTCGTAGCTTGCCCCTGGGCCTGGTAACCACAAGGTCAGCAGTTCGAAACCACCAGCCTCCCTGCAGAAGAAAGATGAGGCGTTCGACTCCCGTAAAGAGATATTGTCTCGGAAACCCACAGGGGCTGTTCTCCCAGTCCCGGGACAGGGTGATCTGAGCACGAGGACTGCAGTGAGTCGGAATCGACTCGATGGTGCTGAGTGAGGGTGATCAGACGAGCCGAGGAGACAGTCCTCCAGCGGGGATCAGATCCCGGCCGGCAGCCAGGCACTGAGGACGGCCTGGCTCCTGGCTCACGTAGTGTGTGGCTCCTCCGCTCGCGTGGCAGCTTGTAGCACCTTACGCTTCATCGTAACCGATTGACTCTCTCCTTCCATCCTCTCAGCTGCCTCACTCTCAGCTCTGCTGCGGCTGCTGCACCGACACCCCTTACCTGTTTGTTGCTTTGTGATACATGTGATGACTGTTCTCTTCAAGGTCCGTCCAAGGCGCATGGACACTCACCCTCCTGAGTGCACGGCCGTCACTTCTTAGTCCACACTCAGTAGGAGAGCCCCGTAGAGCACCACATGACTAGGACTGAAGCCAGTCTAAGGCCGTGAACCTTGACCTTCATCAGGGGTGTCGTCTTTGGGTCTCTTTGGTGTGGCTTTTACTTTTAGCTCATCTGCCACCAAAAGTATGAAGTTGCCATCGGTACCCCAGCACGCATAGGTTCCTATAGGAGAACATAGCAAGCATTGGGAGGGCGGGAGGGCACAAGCGTGCAGGCTCTGTTTGGCCCAGGTCTTTGTGTGCCAGCCTCCTACAAGCCTGGACCTTCCAGATGACCAGACCCCTCCTCCAGCTACCAGCTTGGGGTGACTGTCCAAGGAGGAAGATACTGTGGGTGGGAAAGATGTCTGCCCAGACTTTCAGAAATGGTGACCTGTAATGATGAACTCATTGCTCACTGACCACATATGAAGGTCAGGCTCGAGACCTGGACCCAAAGGAAGCAGGGGCCTGCTGGTGGGGTTTTTATTGGGGCCTCGTGTTACTAAGCCTCAGAAGGCCCCTGCCCTGGCTTTGATGGCCAGTCTTCCTACATGACTACAAGCTGTGTTAGCCCACAAAATTCTTAAGCCCCTGGGGGTAGCTGAGTCCCTCCCTCCCTGGTGTTATCTCACCATGTGCCATCGTTGGAGACAGGGAGGATGGCATCTGGCCATCGGAAGCCCCGCCAGCCCCTCTGGTCCCTCAAAAGGGAGCCTCTGGTGCTGTTTGCCAACCTAGAACTTCCTGGAGAACCCATCTTGGCCCATCCCCTGTCTGTTTCAAACGAAACCCTGCTGGTTCTCTGAAGACCAGGGCTGTAGCCGGTTTATGATGAATTAAGGTGCAGAAAAGAGAAAGTGTTGAGCGTGGAGAACTGTTGGAGACCCAGCAGCATGTGTGATTACTGCCTGGGTCGAGACATAAGATCTCAGCAGCCTCTGGGAGCTGCCCCTTCCCAATCCCAAGCCCCTAAAAGCCCACACTCCCTTGGTCTCCCCTCTGGCTGCACCGCGGTGGCCCTGCCGTCCTGCCTGCTCACCCTCCCGGTGCTGGGGCATGGGTTAGGGTTAGGGTTCCCCTGGCTGCGCTCTAGAGAGGGCCTGCCCCAGTCTGTGTTCAGCACAACTTAGGAAACCCTCCAGCTGAGCTGCTCCAGGAGGGGCCCTGAGGGGGGGGGGGCTGCTAACAAGGTGGGTAGTCCGAAACTACCAGCCGCTCCGCAAGAGGGAAAAAAAGAAAGTTGGTCTCTGAAGCCCACAGGGGCCACTTTGGCCCGTCCTAGAGGGTCTCTGTGAATCAGCAGCAACTTGACGGCAGTGCATGTGTGTGGTTTTCTTGAGCAGCTTCCGGTTCCTTGGTGGCCCAAACTGGGCTGTGGTACACGGGCAAACCGAAGCTCAACTGCTCGCCCGAAACGTTTCAGGAGTGATTTGGGAGGACGCTCTTGGAGCCCTTGAGGAAAGCCCTGGCAAACGCTCAGCAGACTCCCCACCAACAAGCACGGCTGGTCTCCGGGAGAGCTGGCTGCGGCTTCTCAGAGAACTTCCTTTTCCTAATGGCTCCCTCTTCCTCGGAACTGTTGGTGTGGTTCTCTACGTGCGTGGCTGTGTGTGCGTAGGGACTGGTCCTTATGAAGGTTATTAGCGCTGTGTCCCGCTTTGCAAACAGAATCGCAGGCAGAAGGGCTGCCCGTGATTTTGGAAAATGAACTTTGCATATCCTCTCTTCCCTTTTCTCCTAATTCATCCCGAGCAGAGCCACGCTCTCTGCCAGTTGCAAGGGCCGGGCCCGTGAGAATGCCACCGGCCACTCTGGTGTCCCTGAGTGAGCACATGGCCTGAGGCCTCTGGACCTTTGTCACACTGCACGACAGGGGAAGTGGCCACCCATGAGTAGGTTATTCTGAGCCGTGAGTGCCTCCTGGCGGCACCTGCCTGTGAGTCCTGGCGCAGAAGCCGCCACTGTTGGAGCCCCTGCAGATGGCATGCCACCTCCCTGCCAGTCTGGAGTCTTCTCCGCAGACCTGAGGGATCCTGCTCGTGCAGGGGGGACCCCAGAGGATGGTGGGAAAGATGGGCAGGCTTTGGGCTGCTCTTTGCCACCCATTTTGCCCTTCTAGAGCAGGGAAATGCTAAGGTCAGGTGTTCTGGATGGCCTTGCGCCCTTCCAGCACCTACACTACTCTTAGAGCGGCCCCCCGCCCCCCCAAAACCCAGACCCCTGAGGGTCTCCCTTAACCTGCTGCCTCCACCACCTCCTCACGGCCTGAGAACGTCCACCTGTAGAGGCAGCCTGCTTGTCTGTCTGTCTGCCTGTCCTGTCTTTTCCTCCCTTGAACGTTTCTGCCTTACAGTCCCCTTTGAGGAGAATGCCCTGGAAGAAGACGTGGATTCGGAACCTGCAGAGATAGAAGGGGAGGCAGCGGAGAATGGGGACACGGGGGACACCGGTGCTGAGCTGGACGATGGTACGGGGGACCCCAGAGCCTCCCTTCTCCCCGCTGGAGGCGGGGCCACAGCACTTTGGACCCAGGATTGGAAAACACACAAAACCAAGCCAACACACAGAGCTCACAGAAGGAAACCCTTAGGTCCCCGGGCACGTTCCCTGCTCCGCCACCCACACACCCATGGGGTGTGTCAGTTCAGCCACTCCATCCACTGAGCCTGCATGGATTCCATCAGAACCGAAAGCCCGCCCAGGCAGGCTGGTCTTCACAGCAACAGCGAGGGAGTAGAGGGTTAGGCTGGGTAGGCGGATTGTAAGGGAACACAGATTTGTGCATGGTCACGTGAGTCCTGGAGGCCAGGCTCACCTGCCACCAGTAAACCAGTGTTCTCTCTGTCACAGCCTGGCCTGTGTCATTGCTGCTGTGTTTACAAAGAGTGAGAGACCCACAGGATCGCTGCGACTGGGCTGTCCCTGAGGAAGGCAGGGAGGAGCCTAGCCTCGCTGGGATGTGCACCCAGGCCTGTGCTGTATCTCCCTTCCGTCCCACAGATCAGCACTGGTCTGATGATATCCCATCAGATGCCGAAACCGAACTCCGCTTGCGGCACCAGGAAGAGGTGGAGGCAGAGCTGGAGCTAAGGGTCTCAGAAAATGAGGACGAGACGCCACCCCCCATTCCAAAGCGACAGGAGAGAGGTGAGTGCGCGTTCTTTGCCACGAGAAACACCTTGCAGAATTCCTGCCTCTAGTCGGCTGAGGGTGACTAGACAGTGCCGGTCCCTGAAGCAGTGCTGTGGCGCTGCAGCCTGCCCACCCTCCACATGGTCAGCAGGGACTCCTTCTTTGTGCTTGGGCCACAGGCACCCACCCACACATGGCTTCAGCCAGCACCCCCACCCCCGTTTGCTATACACGGGTGCAAAAGAGTAGAAGCTCAAAGCTTTGGGCAAGATCATAAACACGGACTGAAGTTAACCCTCCTGGTGCACTACCGACGGAAGAGTTGTGGGGAAGCACATTGGAGAACTTCCATCACTGGGAGGACTTCTTCCCACAAGATGTGTATGAGGAGCAGGCCCAGGATCAGGGCTGTCAGCTCAGCCTGGAACTCCCAGCTCCCTCTCTTCCCTGAAAATGGCCAGTGGGCCGCCGACTGCCGGCTGCTGGGGGAGGAGAGGAGCCACCTTAGCCTGAGCGGGGTGGGCTTTCCGGGCTGAATCCCTGTGTCCAATCTTTCCAGGTCCCTCGAAAGTCTCCAGCCCCACCGAGCTCCCCCGAAACCAAGGTGTTGGCTTCTCCCCAGTCCACAGCCCTGTGACAGAGGTAAGAGCCCAGCAGAACCGAGGGCACCCTGAATAGAGAAATCGCCTCTCGTCTTAGGGCCCCTAGTGAACACCACACGAGTAGCGGGGAAGGAGCCTACTGGCCTCGTTCTAAGGAAGCTTTAAAAAAAAATTCTCCTTCCTCAGCGTGCCGAGTAAAGCTGTTGAAAATGCTGCCTCAGGCGGGGCTGAGCCTTCCTAGGAAGGGAGGGGGGACAGCTGAGTCCAATTTCCCCACCACTTCCCCGAGCCGTGATTGTGCCGCAGGCTTCACCCTCTGGATTGTGTCCACATGCTACGTGTGAGAGAGAGAGAGAGAACTCCACCTGGGCAGTTCAGTGACGTTAAATACATTCATCATGTTGTTAAATACATTCATCATGTTGTTCAACCATCACCATTAAGCCCAAGTTTTTCTGTGACCCTTTTGGTTAATAAATAGTTGTTTACCCCACATTGCCACCAGAGCTCCTTGGATTTAGTATAAGCTCCACACTCCCTGCCATCAAGTCGATTTCCAGCTCAGTGAGCATGTAGGGCCGAGCAGAACTGCCCCTGTGGGTTTCTGAGGCTGTGAATCTTTACAGGAGCAGAGAGCCTCATCAGTCTCCCATGGAGCCGATAAGGGTTTTGAACAGCCAACCTTGCAGTGAGCAGCCCAGTCCCACGGGGCTCCTATATAGGGGTTCTAAAATGGAACCGATAGAGCGGGCAGGGAGACATGGTCTCTTGGAGTTGGATGCATAACCGCTAAAAGGAATGAGAAGGAACATTGGTTGTGTTTGTGTGTATGTGGGGCGAGGGTTGCAATGAAAAAGCCTATGGGGGCAAAAAATAGAATTGAGAGAGAGAGAACAGGATGTTTCCGTGAACTTTGTGAAGTCCCTCATGTTTCAGCTAACGCTGGCTCAGGCTCCCTGAGAAAGAATGTTTGTGGGCGGTTGTTTTTTTTGGGGGGGCGGGGGGTGGGTGGTAATGACCAACGTTAAGTGCCTTCTAAGCCCCTCTGTTTACCATCCCTTCCGTAGGGTGCTCGAAGCCCATATGCCTCTGTCGCCCACAAGGTGAAATCCCCAGAGGAGCGCTTTTTCCCGGAGCCTCTGCTCCCCCAAGAGAAGCCCAGAGCTGAAGCCCCCTCCGCGCAGACCACCATACCCTCGCCCATCCGCTCCCAGCCCGCAGCGCTGCCCGAAGCCAGGGTGCCCGCCTTCCTAGTTGGCCCTCAGCAGCTGCCCCTGTCGGCCACCGCCACCACCCCCCGGGCCCCGCTCCCCATCTGCTCCCAGCCTCAGCCTTCCTCTTCCTCCGAGGCCACCATCCCGTCCCCCACGGAGTCCCCCATACGTTTCCAGCCCATCTCGGCCAAAACGTCCACCCCGCTCCCCGTGAGCCCAGCGGACGGCCCGGACAGGCGGGGCAGCCCCCTGGCCGAGGCCCTGGCGCGGAGCAACCTGGTGGAAGAGTTCTGGATGAAGAGCGCCGAGATCCGCCGCAGCCTCGGGCTCACCCCGGTGGACCGCGGCAAGGGGCCCGAGCCCGGCTTCCCCGCGCCGGCCCAGAAGCCAGTGACCCTCGGGTCCTGCTCGCTTGAGAAAGCGCAGGAGG